GTTTCTTAAAAACACATATACACACACAACAATGATAATTTTAAAAAATCCTGAAAACTCAGTTAAATCATTATTGTTACTATTATTATTTTAGAGACAGGGGTCTCACTTGTGTTGTCCAGGTTGGTCATGAACCCCTGGGCTCAAGTGATGCTCCCACCTCAGCCTCCTGAGTAACTGGGAGTACAGGCATGCATTACCATGTTTAGCTAAATTGTTTTTATTATGCTGTGGTTATTTAAATTTACAAATATTAAGTAGGAAATAATGTGCTTTTGTTTCTAGTTCTTATACAGCTAAAAAAACCACAACAAATTTACAAAGTAAATACAAATGAAACCACAAAATGAAAACATTCGGTTAAATATATTATAGTAATTTAACATGACAAATGATGTATTTTGCTAAAACTATCATCCCTCATATTGTTACTATGGTGTTGCCTGCTATAGCTCAGCTTCTTTTGTGTTCAACATGGCTATGCCAGCAAGTGACTCCTGACATTTTCATTTTCTCACCATTTTTCTCTGTTACAACTATTGAATACTGCAATCTCATGATGTCATTTGGCTATCATATTGTGCATGAAAGTATCATTCTCATTTTAAAACCACCTCTGTTCTTTTCTCGTTATCCCAGAACAGTAAAAGCAGCACTAAAACACACATGTAAATGTAGGTGCTGAAATTGTGTGGTAATACTGAGTTGTAAGGTGGTCACCCAAATAATTCAGAATATGCTTATGCAAATCTAAAAAATATGAAAATGAAAATAAAACCCTAAAGAATACATTCACAGACCTAATTTGAGAAAACCCGTTCAGGTCTGCTAGTTCCCAAACTTTCTTTTTTTTTTTTTTTTTAAGACGGGTTTTCCCCTTTTTGATCAGGCTGGTCTTGAACTCCCGACCTCAGGTGATCCGCCCGCCTTGGCCTCCCAGAGTGCTGGGATTACAGGTGTGAGCCACCGTGCCTGGCCTTTTTTTTTTTTCACCCCCAAACTTTCATTACTACCAAAGGCTCTATCTATTGTGCTTACTTCCAAGAACCCCATTTATGTATGTATGTATGTATTTATTTATTTTTGAGACCAGGTCTCACTCTGCTGCCCAGACTGGAGTACAGTGTCGTGATCTTGGCTCATTGCAACCTCCATCTCCTGGGCTCAAGCAGTTCTCACTCATGTTAGCCTCCTGAGTAGCTGGGACTACAGGCGGCCATCACCAGCCCAGCCAATTTTTTTTTTTTTTTTTAAGTAGAGATGCGGGTTTCACCAAGTTGGCCAGGCTGGTCTTGAACTCCTGGCCTCAAGTGATCCACCCGCCTCAGCCTCAGAACCCCATGTTTTAAAAAAGTTTGCTTCCTACACACTGCATTAATAGTTTTAATTTTATTAATCAGGCACATAGAATTACCATTTCGGAACTTGTGATCACCATATGTAGTTATCACTCCAAGCTGCTTAAATTCCAGTCTAAAACAAACAAAAAGGACATTCTAGTTATTCTGTGCTGCCCTGATAAGGGTAAGTGAAAACTTTCTATTCAGCTTTGTAAGAAAGAGCTCCCAGACCTCCACCTCTTCCCCTTGCTGCCTCTGAGGACTCTTGGGGGTCTAGCGAGGCCAGTCTGGGTTTTCTTGTTCAAGCAAAGTAGCTACCCCACCCAATTTGGAAGGATTAAAGCTTGTCCTAGTTTTGCTTCATTGTTGTACTTCTAGCATGCTAAAGAGCTAAAAAATGGGAGGAAGAAAATACAACAGAAGGCACCATTCCAGTACCAAACTGAAAAGAAACACAAAAACAAGAGAGCAGCATGTTTTTAACAGCTTGCGTGGAAAAAATATTGACTGGGGAGTTTGGACAGCACTGTTCATTTTCTCTCACCGCCCGCGTTATTTGTCTTACGGAGCAGGAGCCAGATACCATTCTGGAGAACAGGCCGAGGGAAGAGGTGGAGGGGTTCTATGGAAGCTTGAGGCTGAGCTGAGAAATTAGGGCTGGAGATCCTGTGGCTCAGGGCCAGGATGAAGTCAGGGGAGGTGCTAAAGCCTTCTTCCTCCTGGCCTCGGGCACTCTCTTTGGTCCGCCTGAGTCTTAAGAGGGCACAGCGCGGATCACCCAGGTAGGTCCTTGGCCCCTTCAGACAACGAGCCGGATGAATCCCTGTCTCTGTTTCTTTCGGCTGGGGAAAGGACGCAGGGGTTCCACTCGCTTTCTCAGTCCACCCATCTTCTTGAGTTCAGACCTACAGCTCCTGCATTGGGGGTCGGAAGGGAGCCTGAATCTTCGGGACAGAAACTCAGCTCCCCAACCTCGGCTAAACTCGCGTGGCAGCTTTAGTCCCTCTTGCCAGGGCGCGGGGCGGGGCCTGGGCGCGGGGCGGGGCCTGGGCGCGGGGCGGGGCCTGGGCGCGGGGCGGGGCCTGGGCGCGGGGCGGGGCCTGGGCGCGGGGCGGGGCCGGGGCGCGGGGCGGGGCCGGGGCGCGGGGCGGGAGGCGGTGACCAGCAGCAGTAGGAGGAGAAAGAACATGGCGGGCGCAGCGATGCCCGGGACCTGCGCGGGAGCAGCGGGTGGAGATGGAGACGATTCGCTATACCCTATCGCAGTTTTAATCGACGAGCTCCGCAATGAAGACGTGCAGGTACTGGACTGGGCCCGGGGAGCCGAGGTGGGCCCGGCCGGTCGCGTGGTAGAGAAGGGGGAAGGCCTGTGCCGCGGTGAGGGTGGCCGGGGGACTGATTGAACCCGACTCAGCAGAAACTTGAAGGGGAGGCGGGGAAAGCTCCGCGAAGGGCCGTGGTGGCACGCCGCAACTCTCCCCGGGACCTCTCCAGTACCCCTGCTTCGGACCCCCTGAGGCGTCCGCCCGGAGCCTGGCCCTTACAGGGCGGTTGTCTGGGAACCCGCTTCCCGCCTGGGCCCCCCTTCCGGGCTGTGAGGTGGCCGCGCCTTGTAGGCGAGGCAGCTGGAGGAGCGCGGTGCGGGGCCGGCACGGGGCTGGAGCGGCTGAGGGCGCAGGATGCACAGAAACCCTTTGAAGTGCCTCGAAATCCCTTCCCGGCTTAGAACTGGCTCGGCTTGTTGGGTAGAAAGAGGAGGTGGGATTACCGATCAACCTGGACGAGTCGTATCAGCTTTACGGGAAATTTTCTTTGAAACGACAGGCGTTGTATTCAACCGTTTCACCTGCTTCACCACTGCCAAAGTGCCCTCTTTTTTAAAATTATGTTACTTCCTGGGTGTTGTATTATCTTTCATTCATTTCTCTTCCGGGGCCTTCTGAGTGTTTCTCCTAGGAAATCTTCCGCTGGCTAGTGAGACCGAGTTACACTCCTCTTGGAAGTCCCTTAGCAGTGAAATGTAAATGAAATGTTAGTTATCTTCATTATTACCCGTATCATTGTTTCACCTGTTAGCACCTTTTGTCTTTTGATCTAAATTTAACCGTTTCTTTACATTTATTTTCTTTCTACTTTCTTTTCTGAAGCTCCGACTCAACAGTATTAAGAAGTTATCAACAATTGCCCTAGCACTTGGAGTAGAAAGGACACGAAGTGAATTGCTGCCATTCCTTACAGGTATGTGAATCTTTGTTTAGAGAAGGGCAGGGACATTCCATTTTCCAGTAGCTTTCAACACTTTGACTTTTTTAGTTTGTTACCCACATTAAAATGAGCCAGGTGGTTTCTGTGCAAAAGAAACAAAACAGAGTATATTGTTACTTGTGGCTAGATATATTCAAACATCAACCATTTAGCTACTGGGAAAGCAATTGATAGGAGAGTATGAATTTCTAATTTGTTGTGCAAAACAGATCTAGGAAGAGAGTTGATTGAGGAGAAGGAAGAAAATGCTGTTAGGGG